GTGCTAAGTGAAACCCATGAAAAACCCACTGAGTGTTAGCCCTAGTAAAGGGTAATGGGGAACCACACGAGGTAAAGAGAAAATTCTTATGACCTCGGTGGGAATCGTTTGTATGTTCTTAGTGTTCTTAGTGCTACGCGGCACAACATTTATATGATAGAAGGAGGATTGGGTTCCAATGGCGCCAATGTAGGGTGTAACGGGCAAGTTCGATCTTTAATGAAGAGATATTCAGTAAATTCCAAAATGACTCATACCTCTACTATAAGTTAAAGTTAACGTTGTAACTGCACTAACCCAACCAAGCTTGTTGGAGGCTCTGCACTGATATTGACCAACATCGTGAGGTTTGAAACTTGCGATAGTCAGTGTACCATTGATGACATTGGATCGACCTTCCGGTAATTTCAAAAAACCTCTTGACCAAATAATAGCTGGAGGTGGAAAACCAAATGCTTTACAAGAGACAGAGGCTGTAGAAGAGTCCATCACCTCAATAACTCTTTTAGGAATCTCGATGAGTCGCGGAGACACTAGACGAAACGAAAGAAGGAAAAATTAGAGAAAAAGAAGACGAGAAAAAAAATACATTTCAAGTCATTTCATGAAATTTTGGCGACAAAGCGGGAAGTTCTACGACGAGCTAACTGATATCACGTAAAACAGTCGCAACAATCCTACTCTTGTCTTCATGTCAAGAAAACCGGGTTTAGTTCAGTAATTAAGTCTTTTCGCGTAATTTGGAAACACTTTTAAAGTTGTGAATGACTATAAATGCAGAATCGTGAAGTTAAACGTTTAAACACAGTTTTATCAGACAAGTTTTTAGAAGTTCATCATATCAAAGCAAATTAAGAACCTCTACGCTGAGAAAGAGACCCTTAATTCTTTACAAAATGACGGAGGCTGATTTCTAGACTACCGAAAACAGCGGAGTGAGGGAATTTCAATCGCACCTTGCGGCATAGAAACTACCCTGGCCAGAAGATTACTCCCCCACAAAGCACCAACTTTGACTATTGAAATAAATAAACAGCAAAGAACGTAAACGAAACTTGCAAGCAGAGCTGCAAATAAGCTGACCGAACGCCACCGTGCGTTCCCGTTCAATGTTTAATTCCGTTTTATTCCTGACTAGATGAAGGAGGTTCATAACCACTGATACCGAAAACTGCTTAGTAAGAGTGATTTCATCGCCAAGGGTTGCCGGTATCGTTCTTAGGGGTTAATACAAAAATCTGCATATCAAACTGCTAACCTTCTACATAAAGTTTCACCATCTTCTGAGCTTTTCCTAAGACACTTGTAGCTATGCACATATAACTCCCTGAGTCATTATAATCTGCAGTTCTGATATGAAGTGCAGTATCGGGACCGTCTGTTGTCACCAGTTCAGCACCATTTATTTTTCTCCAGGAGACTTTAGGCTTTGGATGACCACTCGCTGAGCAATGAAAGTTGGCGGTCTGGTTCTCGGTGACTGTGAGTGAGACAGGAGACACATTTACGTCTGGAGCAGATAAGGACTGGCCTGGTTCACCTTTGGGCCCCGGATGTCCAGGAACCCCTTTGTCACCTTGAGAGGAAAGAAAGAGACAGGTAGCACACGCCTTATTTGAAGCGTAGGTGAACGGCTTACAACTGTCAGATCAAAATCATCTGTCGCAATAAAGATTGGCTCTGGAAACGGAAGAAAGCCTGCCCACCCTTTACGATCCCTTCATATTTTACTGAGTCCTAGAGTTTTATTTGAAAATTAACCACAACATTATCTATTCCACAGCTTAAACGTATATATACTGTAGTAAATATTTGTAGTTTTTTCAATCTTGCAATTGTCCTTACAAAACCAAACTACCGTTCCACTCCTCTTTTCCCATCATTAACAATAAGGAACGAAAGAAACAGAGCGGGAAAAATTAAATCTCTTTGATTTATACCTTTTTCTCCTTTCATTCCAGGATTCCCAACATCTCCTTTTATTCCTTGTTTTCCAGATTTGCCAGGTGGTCCCATAAATCCTTTCGTTCCCGTTTTTCCCTTAGTTCCTTTTGGACCCCGTCTACCGCGATTTCCCGGAGTTCCTTTTGGTCCTCGAGGGCCTGCCAAACAGACTTTACTGGGGGAGAGGCAGTAGGTCCCTATGGACTCGGTCACAATAGAAGTCACGTACTTCTTGAATCCATTGTCGGCTTCTGCTTGATTAACGGAGTCGCTCTCATTGGAAGTTAAGCTGCGACGAACAATTTTGACTTTGTGTTCCATACCTTAAAAAATTGCAAGAGTTAATGACTTTTTGAAAATTCAAGGGAAGGTCTTTCCCCGCCTTGTTTTTTTTTTTTTTTTAATTATATATTTCGACTCGGAGAATGAACAAAGGGCATCTTGCTTTTCATGACTGAAAAAAGGAAGCACGTTTTATCGTTACATTTTAGTTCCTGATTGATCCTTTCCGGCAGAAGACGCGTCGGTAAGAAGCCATTGGTGCATTCTAAAGAATTTATTAAAAGACAAGTGCAATCTAACAAATCTGACTCAAATTGATTAAATGGGTCAAGTTACTGAAGCAAGGTCAAATCTGTGTCGTCAAAAACTTTGCTCAAATTATCATAATCGAGAGAAGTGCCCGATTACATCTGGTCTCCGGTTGATTAACATTAAAGTATCAAACATGCAAATACTTCTTGGGTGGATTGTCTTAGGTCCATTAATGCCAACTTGCTTTAGGAACTACCTAATTTTTTTTTATAATGTGTGGTAGTCGGAAAAAAACAACTACATTATACCCGCTCTACTATTTGTATCGAGCACTGTTTGTTTTCTCATTTAAAAGCTGAAGGCAGTCCGAATTCTGCTCGATATCGCAATAATCCGGCTAAACGATTTACATACGGGTAATATGTTTTTTTGTGGTTTTATTCCATTTTTTACGATAAAGTGACCATATAACGAGGGTCGATATTCATCTTGGTTTTCGTGTTTCTGTCCGTCTAATAAGGAAACGTTACAAGTTAGACGCGACCTTTAATTTTCACGTGATGCCGTCTGTGACCAGATCTGTGTCACAACAGAGCACGTGTAATGAGTAACTAGCACGATCGTTTGCATGCTCAAGTGCACAGAAGCTACCAGAGCTGGATGTAACGTGATCTTACATAAGCAATCTTTCTTAGAACTTGTTATAATTTTAAAGTTATCCTCAGCTCAGCCTTGGACTAAGTGTACTGAGATGGATGCAGAATATCAGCACCAGGAGGTCAAATTATGGACTTAGGGTATAAAATAAGGAAAACAATGAATTACGCAACGTGACTTCTGTGACTGCTGTGCCACGATTAGGAGATGTGCCTGAAAATATTCGTATGGGAGTGGAATATGTATATTAAGTTTCGACAGCAGCGATTAAAGAATTAGAGCAAAACACAAAAAAAAACAAAATAAAACAAAAAGGGAAGAAGAAAGAGAAACTTTCTGAAAAAAACCAACGAAAGAACAATGTAATCAAGTCAGCAAGGTCTTTGAATTGATGGTCCTCTGTCGATTTTTATACATCGTAGATTCAGCTCACCCGGCATTTTTCATGAACAAAAACGGATTCACTAGTTTGGCTTGAAGATGGCACAGATTATGTCATTAAGTTCTCTTTGCTTACAATCTATTAAAGAACTGACATACATGAAATAGAATATAATGAAATAGAATGTAACTACACTCGACAACAATCAAGTGCTCTTTGCGCTCTACTTGTCAAAATACAACGAGACCGTTGAACAAGTAAATGGTTTAGTTCTTTGTTCAGTCCTCCAAGATCACTTAGCCCAGATAAAACACCTCCTAGTTATCGGTTGTGAAGTAGTGACTACCTGCAAATAAGGTTTGTTTGTTTTTACACAAGTTGGAAAGGAATAAGCTCAACCAAAATTGGCCTAGGAATAACGATTACTACTGGCATTGTTCGTGATGTACATACCATGACCATTACCAAATATTGGACCGTAATTCGAATGCCTGTATATTGCAAACGAGGGATTTTTTACCACGCTTTTAACTGGAGGTCTTCCTTCTTTACTGTGTAGAGAAAATAGGAAAGCCGCATTTGGAGTGCTAATGCACCCACCACTGGACTCTGGGGAAAGATAATCGTTCACAATTACGTCAAATTGTATATTTCTAAGGTTTATTTTTCGATAAAAATGCAAGTTAGAGCTATTGTCAGGTTATGGGGATTTTCATTCGTGTTAAAAGATGTTACTTCTCATTCCTTTTATCTTTTGGCTATTTTTTCTAATATTTTAATCTACTATTTTGTTTATATCTGTATTCAACTTTAAAGCAAAACACGAGAAAAAAAAAAGCAAAAACAGCACAATAAAGACAAAATTGACATGCAATCCATTTACCCCATGGCATGTCGGTGTATCCTCTAAAGACGTTCTGTCCTACTGTGTTACGTTTCCCGTCACACCTGCTGTGGAAAGAACTGACCGCCCAGCCGTGAGTGGAGGCGCGGCATCACAACACCCACTGAGGGCGACTTCCAACCGCGGGTGTTAGAAACTGATTCAAGTGATTCTGATAAAGCTCGTCGTCTCTTAGTATGCTTGATCTCCACCAAAGGTCTGCAAGAGACTGAGGCAGTCTTGATTCCTTTTTTTGCAATATAAGATTTGAACGAGCATGTATTTGTAACAAGTTTAGCTTTAGTAAATCCGTTGCTCCCACCTGTATTTGTTGTTAGTTCAGGGAGGATAAAAGCTCCAGATTGTATAACATGCTGTTTACTAACTACACAAGAGTAACCCTTGGGGTATGGATTCTATAAGCGAAATAGGCTAAAAGGCTGTGTATGAAAGGTGAGTTTAATCCTTTAAGAATCATTTAATAAACTCACAAATGACTCGTACCTGGAACATAACTTAAATTTGTAACTGCACTAATTCATCCAAGCTTGTTAGAGGCTTTGCACCGATAAGGTTCGCCATCTTGCGGACTGAAACTTGCGATAGTCAGTGTACCATTGATGACATTGGATGGACCTTCGGGTAGTTATGAAAAACCTCTCGACCAAACTATAGTTGCTGGTGGAAAACCAAATGCTTGACAAGAGACAGAGGCTGTAGTAGAGCCCAATAACTCTAGCTAAAACTCTTTTAGGGACCTTTATGAATTACCGAGACACTAGACGGAAAATAAGAAGCAAAAACTAAAGAGAAAAGGATGAGAAGTTCTTCCCCTCAATTTTGCCGACTGGAAAGCTCGAGTTGCGAGTGACTGGAAAACTGTAGAATCGTGGTGAGGTTTCACTGGACAGGTTTTTAGAAGTTGTACAAAGCAGGTTAACAACCTTTACACTGAAACTTACCAAATCAATTCTTGACGAAATGAAGGAGGTTTATGGATACCAAAAACTTGGAATTGCTCCTAGTTTCCCTTTAGTACCTTTCGGACCTCATCTATCTTGTTTTCCGGTTGGACCTAGCGGTGCTACAACACCTTTCGCTCCTGGTTACCCTCTAGTACCTTTCAGACCTCGTCTATCGCGATTTCTCGGAGTTCCTTGGGGACCCCTGAGGCCCTGCCACACAAATTTTACCAAGGGAGAGGCAGTAGATCCCTATGGACTCAGTAACAATAGAGGTTACGTACTTTCTGAATTCAGTGTCGGCTTTCAGTTGATTAACGAGGTCACTCGAAGAACAATTTTGACGTCGTGTTTCATGCCTAAAGAAAATTGCAAGGGCTGATTATTTTTGAAAAATTAATGGAATTTTTTCCCTTTTTAACATCAATTGTGTAAGACTACTGCTTCAATTTCATGACTGATAAAAGAAAGTCACGTTGTGTCGCCACGTATCCAGTTCAGAAACGTTTTCTTTAAATCCTTTTCGACGGAGGAAGAGAGCGGAAGACTTGTGATTTCAAATCAAACTCGTGCTGCGTACTCGTTTGGTTTTGAAATCAGACCACACTGGATTCCCCTCGGTTCAATTATAATTGTTTAGTCTTTCACTTATGGGTTAGTATACGTCTGTGCATCTGCTGGGCTTAAAGCAACCAATCATTTAGCAGTCTTTCTGAGTCAAATCTGTCAAATTAGGTGGCTCACAGTCGAGGCAATCTTTTTCGCCCAAACTCGGCAAGTGACCCAGTGTTTGAAATTGCAATTTTCGCCGGTCGNTCGAAAATTGTTGGCAGAGCTGAATGGAGCATTATGCGACTACCATTCCACTTTAATTTTGGCTAAAGATCTATATCACGAAAACTCCTAAACGGGTTATCGTTAAAAATTCAATCATTTTTGGCAACAGTAAAAACAACTTAGGAAAGTGGATACCCTAAAAGTTAGTTCTCTTTCTAAGTATCCTTATGCTTTTATATATTTTTTTAGCTATAGGGAAAAAGACTAAACGTCTAATAGATCACGTTCTGCCTCAAGATTTCGCTTCAGTAAAATTTTGAAGGGTACTAGCCAGTGAGGCCGAATCCATGAAGTGCTTTGATGTCCCCTTTTGACTTTAGTCAATCACAGGCGCGACAATAAGATGACAATGTCGTGGATTGCTGCAGACTTTGTATTTGTATGTAAAGAAACACAAAGGCGATAATGGAAGCAAAAAGCGAGACGTGGTCAACTAAGATCCTTTCAATTGTAACAGAGGTATGAAATTTTTTACTGCGAGGAATACAAGTTTGAAATGTTCTTTACGTCACTGAAAGGATATAAAAACCCAGGTGATGCTTTTCTTAAAGGTGGCACTCACCCAAATCATGCCGGTTACAACAAATGACTGTTTAGCAAAGCATCGCATCGGCCTCCTTTTGGATTTAAACCCTCCCTGAAGTAATGAAAAATTTTAGAATTAAAAATTTGTTTCCTGACCTTGACTTGATTTGTTTCCTTGATCATCATAATCTAAGGTTGTTAGCACACTGATAGATCCAAGCTTGTTTCGTGCTTCACACTGATATGGACCACCGTCCAGTGGACCAAAGTTGGCGATATTAAGGGTACCATTCTTAGTAATAGTAGTCCGACCTTGCGGTAACGGGACAAATCCTCTCGACCAAACTATAGTTGGTGGTGGAAAACCGATAGCACGGCAAGGAACAGATGCAGCTGAGTTTGCTAGGACTTTTATCAGCCTGTCGGGAGTATGGATAAACCTTGGGGGAACTAGAATTAAGAAAAAAGATTACTGAATGATCGAAATGATAAACTAACGAAATATGAATGACATATGGAATGGAGTGTCACCTTCAACAGTAAATTTCACCGCTTTCTGAGCTTTTCCGAGGACACTTGTGGCCATGCAAACGTAGCTTCCTGAATCATTATACTTGGCATTTTTAATCTGCAATTTAGTATCGTGACTGTTCATATTGACTTGTCCTGCACCACCCATTTTCCTCCAAGTAACTGTTGGTTTTGGATTACCGTAGGCTGAGCAGTAGAACGTGGCGGTCTGGTTCTCAGTGATT